TTCCTCTTCCTGTGATGCTCTGCCTTACCAAGGCTGCGGGCAGAGTAGAGCAGATCCTAGAAGAAAAAAAAAAAAAACAAAAAAAACCTAATAAAAATGTTATTTTTAAACAGAAGGAAATTTCAGAAATCTTCATTTGGTGTTTTTGTTTGCATATTTTGCTTTGGATTTTTTAAAAAAACAAATCCAGTTATAATATCTGTCTGTGTGTAACAGCAGCCCTAGTTACCACACACAGAGGAATATATTTTAAGTTAATGATGAAAACTCAGAAGGCCCAGCTCTGAAACATGGTATGTGTACACGTCTGTATGTGTGAAAGAGGGGCAGAGGCAGAGATAAAATGGCAACTCTTCAGATGGTAGAACATTTGGAAGGGGCTATAGGACCAGTGTTCAAAAGATATTGTTGAAAATGTTTCTGTTGCAGGAAGAAAGATACCATAGATGTATATATTCATACACATATTCTGCTAGAAAAACATGGCTTAGGAAATTTTACTCTTCTCTGGAAAATTGTTGTTCCAAACTGAAAGCCTAAATTCAAACTGTAGATCTTTACAAGCATCTACATCTGTGCTGGCCATCTTAGGCTCCCTTTATCCTCCGCACAGATCTAGTCTAGGCAGTGATTCATCTCCTCCTACAGCAGACATGTAAATAGGTCAGATGAATCATGGCCTAAAAGTGCCTGCTCCCTGTATTGACTGCAAAGGGAGCTTGGGGTGATGGGTTTTGCCATATGTGTCTACACTGCTGATGTCTGCAGTGAGGGCAGATATATCCAAGGCTAGGTACAGAAACAGAAAAAAATTTTATTTTGGTTTTGAGGCCTGACTTTCAAGTGCTAAATTATTCTTTACTTTTATGGAAATACGGCTGCAAGTCACTATCAGTGATACATAGTGTATCATTCAATCCATATTTTTTTCTATCAGAATATGTGTCTGCCACTGCCAATTATATAATATGTATTTCTTACAGTAAGTGTCAGATTACAGTAAAGCACATACAAGCTTGGGGAAACACATACATCTTTTTATATTCATTTGTGAAGCTCTTCTGTTTCTTCAAACAGAAATAAAACCATACCATGTAGTAACTTCAGCAAAATATAATATAATATAATATAATATAATATAATATAATATAATATAATATAATATAATATAATTATTATGAACATAGAATCCAGGTTCCCACTCCTATTCTTATTCACATCTAAATCCAAAGAATTCTGTTGTTGGATACTAGAAACTAGTTTCTTACAGGAAGAGTAAGAGAGGAGACAAGCAAGGGCAGAGGGATTTGTCATAAGGGTCAATATTCACAGTCTCCAACTAAATTTATGTTTTGCTGTAGTTGAGGCCTTAAAAGATGAAAGAAAATATCTCAAAAATGGGATTAGACCACCTCTCTGCTGGCCAGCTGACCCAGAAGCTGACAGGGATACAAAGACTGTGAACCTCAGATATTTATTTCAACCCCAAAAGAAAAGGGCAGGACATCCAAGCAAAGCCATAACTACCCAGAGACTGAAACAGGAAAGGCCATTTTAGATGAAATATTTATCTGAATAAAATTGACCACAGGTGCCATATGGCTTGACCACAGAAAGTTTCCTCTCTAAAGCAATTGTTTCAGTCTTCTTAAGCTCACCTACCCAGATAAGCCCTTGGTTTGGGGATTAACCTTACCTGATCTATCAAGCAATGAGGCTGAGATAAGAGATTGTAACTTGAAGAGCAGGGGAAACAGAAAGGAGCAGAGTATCATTCCCATTCATAGCCTTTTTCCAGATATCTACGCCCTTTTGAACACCCACTATATCTAGACACAGGCAGAACAAGCAATATATTCAGTCTGGTAAGACCTTGTCTATCATTCTTGCTATATACTCACAGAATTGAATTGCTTGAATTCTTGAATTCTTCCCAGTGCATAAGTCTCTTTATAGTGAAGGCTGATTCCATAATACTGAAACTTTTTCAAGAAAATGACGACTGATTATGGGAATATAATTCACAAGAAGTTACCAAAACATGCTTAATTTGCAAATTTTAGCTTTTAAGTTTAAAGCCAGACTGTTGTCCTCAACTAGGGGGATGTCAATGGCAGAACAGGCTTGAAGGTAACATTAAAGTTCCTGCAAAGACCCAGCTTGACCCAGCTTGACTTTAGGTAGCTGCAGCTTAGTTCTGCACCCTGGCTGGCCGCTGCAGGCTGCAGCCCTCAGCTCCAGAGAGGCTCAGGTATCATGTACAGCATCAGATGAAAATGATGGTGCTGTGCCCAAACTACCATGGTTCCTGGACAGTATGAACTCATCTTGGATACATCAAAGGCAGAACCAACAAGCCAAGGAAAACCCAAACCACCTAAAAGCAGAAATACAGGGTCTGTGCGCATTTCTGACGCACTTGCAGCAAAGACCTGGTACAAGACACTTGAGATGTCCCTACCTAAATCCAGTTGGACTGAGCGGGGTTTAGTAGATCCAGGTCTACTTTGTGCACAGATGAACGTCCTTGTTTTACTGCTCAGCTGAGAAGCATGTTCACAGAACATTGCATCTCAGCCAAGAAGCTAGACCAGACCACAAATCCCTTCCGTATCCAGGGGGTGGTAATACACAACCCAGGCAATCCCGGCATGCTTAGTTAACAGTTGCTTCTAATTAATTAAGTAACATATGTGGACAGGCAATATTTCAATCTTAATGTCTCAAATAATTTCAACATTACTGACACACAATGTTTTAAGTACACTCAATTACAAGATTTCTGGAATTAAAGATCTCCTAAATTTCATTAAAAGATAAAACTTCCTGTTCCAGTTCAGAACAAAAATACATTTTTAAAATGCCTGAATGTCTTGTAGAACAGCTTTTCTTCGTAACACAAACACAGATGTAGCGTGTAGGCCAAACACAACAAAACGCTTAAGCACATCTTAACTTCAGTCGTGTAATTCCATCTTCAGGCATGTGCCTAAACTCTGTAATGGGCTCCACTCAACCAAACCAAGGCTGTACAATATCTGTTTGCACAGAAACACTTAAGCTGCCTGGTGATGCAGCATTTCTGCAACATGAAGTTGCAGTTTAACATGCTCTCACTGCAATTGCTTTATGACTATTTCAAAGACGGTTGCCAGAGAGGGGTGTTGATTCATTTTTCAGTCCCAAGACTGACCTTATCTCTGTGCAAATGATCTGAGTAATTGTTTATTCAAGGAAATGTGCAATCTTTTGAGACATTATTTCAAATGTGGATTGTAAAACATTGCAACTAGTTGGTTTGTTAATGGCGGATGTTCTGGAGGGAAAAGGGAAATCGAAAGGATGAATCATTATCCAGATGAAGTTCAAAAGCAATTCAAAATTCATTTCATAATCACAGATGTGTGCCAAATAAACCCATCCAGGACAAGCTGCAGGCTTTGATTTTTGTGAAGTCTGCAAGTTCTTTCCCTTGCTATTCCCACTATAATGTTTGGAGTGTGGCTAAAAATAATAAATAAATAAAAAAGTTAGAAGAAATTATTGCCTTCTAAATGCTCCATATACCTGTCTCTTTCTACAGTGTTGTGCTGCATCCACAAAATTACTGTCAACGTGCACAGTGGAATACAAATACTTTTCCCTTTGGGCTTGTAGTGAGCTCATGGTTGGAATAAAGATAAAAGTCAGAGCAGCTGGGAGTTTATCAGGACTGCAACTCCAGCATGCACCCACAGCAAGGTCCCTGGCCCCTCAGCTGAAGTGCAAACCCTATGTTACAAAGAACAGGCATGCATAGTTTTTCTGTTACACGCCCAGACTCTCTATAAATCCTGTCAGGGCTGGTAAAGTCCAAGGTAAAAACTATGGTCAACATGTGCTCTCTCCTTTTTTAGCTTATCCTTCCTCTCACACTCTCGGGTTTTTGCGGCTGATTGAAGGGCCTGGAAAGGCCCGGAGTGGCCTTGGGACAGCCCGCGTATCGAAGGACGAGAAGAGGCTTCAGTTCTTCTTTCGGTTTTTATGTTTATTAATTGTTTATCTAAAAGATGTTCTTTCAGCCCGACAGAGATCTGCTCAGCAGTCAGCCATGAGCACACTGTGTCGCTCTCCGTAAAGCCACCTATCTTTATACCCATTGTTACGTGTACAATATTTATCATTTTTCCCCAATACCATTTATTCTTATTACTCAGTGCACTTTCAGTAATAACCAATCCAAAAGTGCCACCATCACCAAAGAAGATGGAGGAGAAGAAGAAGAAGAAGAAGGACAGGACACACCCCAATTCCTCCATCTTACTTCTCTAAACCCCCCTGTACATAAATCCTAAACCCTGTATCTCACCCTCTAATTAACTAATCCCTTCACCATTCACCCCGGTGAAGCCCTCATCCTTGTCGTCTCCTGTGTAGGATCAAAGTCCAGCCACCAGACACTTCTGGCAACATTCCAGGACTCCCGAGCCCCCCAAGGGTGGTCTCGGTGGCCCGGCACCTCAGGACTGAGATCCTGAGATCCGACATCACACAATTCCACCTCTGGCGGTGTGCCCCTAACAGATCAACCCTACAGAGTTTTAGTTGTGCTGTTTAGGCTGTGAGCCTGCAAGAAGGCATGTAAGGACAAAACTCTGCAGGCAGATATCTTGTCCTTGGTCTCTCTCTGGTCTCTGGACCATCCCTCTCTCAGCTGTGATCTTCACAGACTTTTGCAGCTACCATAGGAATGGTATGATCTTTCACTCTTTTCCTTTCAAGCCCTTTTCTTCAACAGTCTTGCACTGCTTTTGATTTGCTTTCAAAACATCAATGGTTGGTTGCTGGGGGAGCATTTACTGCTTCACTAATAGATTGGAAACTCATACAGAAAGTGTCAGTGCAAACAAAACAGGAATTGATGTATCTTTTATATTAAATGATCGTTTTTTCAGAAAGACCCTTGGAATTCAGAATCTTCAGACTTGTAAAATATTATAGATACAAAAAGAAAGGGCTCACTGGCTGTTGTTGAGATGTCTTCACCCAAGTGCATTGTTTGCCTGGGATTCCTCCTGAGGCTCTGTAGATCCTGTAACTTACACAAATAATTCCTTAGAGATGTGTATGAAACACAGCATAAAACGTATGTGAGGAAACTATAAGAAAAGTGGTGTTAAAGTTAGGTTGAATAAGTAGCCAATAGGTTTTCCAGTGAGAGCATAAACATACTACAAAGGCATCCACTGGAATACATAGGTGGAAATGAGTTCTTTTAAAGTCCTGTCCCTTAAAATGCTCCATGTCACCATCTTGCAGTCTGCTTTCCCACCTTGCTCTTGCAAGTCAGACAGATAACCAATGAACAGAAAGAAAATCCTAACACCATAGGAGTTTCTAGTAAAGGATAACAAGAATCAAGTAACTTCAGCAATTGGGTTGAGAATGACCAATAAGCTCAATTTTTTTGCATTGTATCGCAATAAATTTTTACCAAGATCATGCATTCACTAAAAGCAAAGTTGATTTGTGGACGTCTGAAGGAAAAAGTTTGGACAACTAAGCAAATTTTTCAACTTTTCCCATTGGTAGTGACAATGTCTTACTAATACTTCTGTACCTGCTGACAGTCAGTGCTCAAATGTTGAACCTCTAGCTCACTGACATTACATTTTCGGTTACATTCAATGGCAAATATAATTTCTTGTGCCTGTTACTTGAAAAACCATTAAGGTCTCTTTTAAAACTCTATCTCAAAAAAAAAAAAACAACTTGATTTATGGGTTTAAAAATTATGAAAACCCTTGGAATGTGTAGAGAGGCCAGTGTTGCAAGTGTTATCTAATGAACATGAGTCTAAGGTCGTGTTTATTCTCACAAATACCAGAGCTTTTCACAAAGGCAACAGAAATATGCATGTAAAGCTTCAGCAGTAATGCAAATTATGATCTAAACTCACTGTAGTCATGATATCTTTTAGAATGAACTCCTATCAGAACTCCTCATCTTCACAGCTCTGAAGGCTGCAAACATTACACCTTTTCATGACTTTAACCATACCAAAAAAAGAAGTGCCATCTCACTGTAATAATGCTGTCTTAATTATGTACAATACTTAGCACTAGTTTTGCACCAGATGAGTCATAGTAGAAGCTTGTACTTTACTGTTTGACTAAATCCCACAGCAGTTACAAGTCCCTGCAGTGAGTGCTTACCAGCTTGTGCTTAGCTCTTTGCTCAACCATGTCTGCTGAATCCTATGGGGAAGGTAGGTCTGAAGGGTGCTGCACTAGGATGAGCAGACACTGTGGTTGGAAATAGGTCTCAGAGTCAGTAAGAACACGCCAGAGAAATGTCTTCAAAGCTGCTCAGGTGTCTCTGCTTCTCCAGTCCTGTCCATTTTAGTTCACTGGGATTCTAAAAATGATAGACCTAGGTTTCATTCCTTTCTATTTAAAAACAGTTTATCTTCTGAGTAGAAAGGTGTTCATTTTTGTCATTTGGTGCTGTTTGTTGTAACAATTAGATGATGCCAAACAGGCAATTGAAATGCAGCTATTTATGGAATCCCTCTTCACTTATCTTACACCATCTACTCTTTTACTGCTAAAAATAATCCCATAGAAGCCCAGTTACCACTGGAGTTTTCAACAAGACAGCATGATCTACTGGGCACTTCTTAATTTGTGCAGATTTTTCCTCCTTCCTGAGTTTTGTGGCTTGATGAGATCAGTGAAATTTCCTGGTAGGCACAGGATCTTTTCTCAGGTCCTCTTAAATGCTGATGCCTTGGAGAATACTGGCTACTCTCAAGTCAGATGTTACTTTGACAGTTTAGCTTTCCTCATCTGAAACATATGAATAATACTCCTTTTGAGCCTTCATAAATGGTGCTAGAAACTTCAAAGGAAAAACACTCTTAGATAGAATTTAAAAAAAAAAGTTAAAGAGCAGATGGACTTGTAGCTGAATATACTGCAGTCTTCATTCACAGTCAGCAGGAGAGGTAGGTTCCAGCCTCTTTGAATCTCTGTTTGGAAGACCATATAGGAAATTTAATGTCAGACATTGTGAAAAATTGGTCCCATCTGCTTCCCCTCCTTCACCCAACAGATACACAGAGTGCCCAAATACCTGACGATCACAGATCACTGGGATCACTGCTGAAGCCTCTCTCTATGCAAATGACAAATATTCTACTCATTAAACATCCCTGTAATGAATGTCCTGCTATGGCAACTTCCAAGAAGCTCTTGATTAATTGGAAGTAGCAAAACACATCATGCTGAAGTAACAGCTGGTTATGGTACTTACCAGTATCAGCTGATAGTCTAAAGACATGCACTTCACCAGGGAGATTTCACTCTTGCACATTATTTAAATAGAAGTTGTTTTTTTGCAAACTCAGTACCTCTAAACTGAAATCTATTACATCTGGCTAGTAGGGTCCTTCTAGTAAACAGTCAGTGTTTTTTCAAAGTCTTACCAACTTTGCCCAGAAGAAACCCCAAGGAGTGCTGTGCACACCGCACTATTGTGTGATGCAAAAAGAATGCATCAAAGTGAAAGGACAAACAAATCTTTGTGCTAACAAAAATATTTCATTTCCATTTTAGCCAGGAATGCACTAAATAATGCATCATGGCTCAGCTACTCGAAAGGTCACCTTTTGGTCTGCAAGCAGCTGCAGCAGCTGTGTTCCTTTGAGACCCTGCTCTGAGCACAGAACAAAGCTTGAGAGCTGACAACAGGCTTGGGAGATGCAGGTATGGGACAGGCTTCTGGAGGCCTCCCAGCAGCTACAATTGAGAACCACTGCCAAATTTTCTTTCTCTCATTTTTTATTTCAATCTCAAATAATCTCCTTCCTTTCCCTCCCTTCCTAAGTAAATTAGTCATATGCAAAATATGAGAAAATTAACAGCCAACTCAGATTTTAACACCATGCAGAGACAAGTATCCATGGAGATTAGACCTCCTGTTCATCACTGATTTCCCATCACATTTGACAGGAAGGTACAACAAACAGAATAAACCAGTCCCCAGAAAGGCACTCCATGAGGCCGAGTTCAGCTTAGAGGCCACCAAGACTGTTATTCCCAAACTATAATGCAGGCAAGACCCACAGCTGCTTTAGATAAATCCCTCATATTTGAGGCTTTCATCCCATAAATCTGGATGGAAGAAATTTGTGTCTTCTAACATATTATCTCATCAGGAACTCAGATATGAGTTTTACAGCTTGGAATAGTTTCAGTTTTCTAGACCGGAGTGTTGGTTATAACATACAGACCTTAGTTTGGAGACAGTAATTTTGAAGAGGAAAGAAAATCAGTGTCCATAATCATCCAGTTCAGAATCCGTCCTCCTAACAGGTAGGTCAGGGTGGTACAGAGTAGACATCCTCATCAGATGTGACTTTGACAGGATGGTGGAGGAAGCAACATGCTGTTCTGGCAGGACTTCTGCAGTTGTATTTTCTGTAGATCTAATCCTGTTCCATTTCCTGAATGCCTAGATGAAAATTGCCTACAGCCAGAATAGTTTTTGTTTCAAATTAAATCAAACTAGCAAGGAGAGAAATAACATCTACAGGGGAAACAAACAAGAGTGTAACTCACTGTAAGGGCTATCTTGCTTTGATGCATAGCGTTTACTTCTAGACCACTGTCTGGGGAATACTTTATTTTTAAAGGTTCCACACACAATAACATACATCTAACCATATGTACCACTCATCTTTTCTTATCCAGAAAAAAAAGCAAATCTTAAAAAGAGATGGGGGGAAAAAAACTACCAATAAACCAAACCAACTAATGCACAAGCATTGAATTAAGTATTAGAATTCCAGTGCTTATGCATTCCTTAGCCCATCCAGATGTGCTTTCATCCTCTCCAGTCACTCACATATCAAGATTGCACCAGACCCCCATGAAAACCCTCTGAGCTCTGGGATTCCTGTCCTTGATCCTGGGTGATGTAGGATTCATTATCTCCAGCTGCCTCTGTTAGCTTTTCCCCACTGTAATGGCTCAGTGTCACCACCAACCAGCACAAAACCCATGCCATGTGGCAAGGCCCTGGAGCCACAGTGGGCACAGCAAGGTGGCAGCCATCAAAAGACAGAAAAGAGAGCAAGGGCCCATAGGACTCTTCAAATGAGAATTTTAAAATTTGCACTTAAAAACCAAAAAAGCAGAATACTGCAGAGCAACCAAATTCACCATTAACTGCTCTTTACAAGCTGGAGGTAACAACAGGAGTTGTTGTTACCTCCTGTTTTTCAACAACTACCTTTTCAGCCTGATCAAACTGAAACCTCCTGCTTGCTCATGTGCCTGTCTGGCACTGGCCCACGAGGGCCCTGAACAGCATGTCCTACAAGTCAGGAGAGAGCTCCATATGCTTCTTCCAATGCTTCCAAGCCATTGGAACCCCTTTCCAGCCATGTTATCTTCAGGTATGGGTCATTACTGGAATTCAGTCTGCATCAATAGATACAGATACAGAAAAGACACAGATACAACATATACTTGGACCCATCATTCAGTAGACACTTCAAATGGGGCCAGGATATCATTGGCATCACTTAGGTTATCTGGCCAAGCCCAAGCTGCACTGGCCTACATAAAAAAAGAGTAAAGAAAAGCAAGTCTGTAATCAGTAGGTTTAAGTTTGTTCAGCAGGAGCACACACCTCCTTTGCAAAACATCTGTGAATCTGGAAAGTAGAAAAGGCTAAAGACACAGACCAGTCAAACACCATTTATTTAAAATGTGTGATCCCAAAAATAATTGAGGATCCTTTCAAGCTAGAAATCCAAGCCAGAAAGTGACAGCAGCCCCCTGGACAGACAACAATCCAGGGTTTAATTCTGGAGCTACAAACAGCTAAATAAGTGCTCATACTGATGGCAAGAGAATGGGAACACACAGTCTTTGCACTGTTTGCCTTTTCTTCCAGTGCTCAAAAGCCATGTGCTCTGGGCTTCCATAAGATGATTTTAGAGTCTTTAATTGTATGAATTCACCAAAGCACTTGACATCATTTCAACTGTTCTAAGTCACCTCCTTGGACTGCCTCTAAAAAAGCTGTCCTATCTTCACTGACAGTGTGGGCAGCCTGGTAAGAGGAGGTTTCCAGTGCAGACTCCTGCATAATGTGCCTCAGTTCAAGCAGTGACAATATTGCTCCTGCCCCCTCACCCTTCCACCCTTGTTTTTCCCCCCTTGGCTAATGACATGTTTTACTTTGGCAGAGCAAACTATGCCACATAAGTACAAGCAGCTATGAGACTGGAGTAAGAGTGCATCTCTGGGATCAAAGCAACCCTTTCTCAGCTTCACGCTGGCCCAAGACCAAGCGAACATCAATGTGCTCCATCCCATCTCCAGGCCACCATGGGCAGGAGAGCCCAGCCCTGCAGATGGACTGGAGTTCCCCACTGTTGCAGTGAGCTCTATCCTTCACATGGTATCTGCTGGACAGTTAAGGTACAACCACACTAATTTTTTGTCTCTTGAGCATATTTTCAGAGTTGCTCCCTTTGACTTAAGTATTTAATGAGTTGCAACCCAGTTAACAAATTTGCACACACTCCCAGACATAAAAACACACAGAGTTGCTTAAATATGGCTTTCCTTACAGTTCTGATAATCTGGGTAATTTATTCAGTTTGGCAAAGTTTGAGTGTTTTTCCATTTCCTCTACAGAAGGGGAGCAATGTGATTGTTGCTGTGGTGATCCTTCCCTCAATATTTTTAGCCATAATCTGACTTAAAGTCATGACTGGCAGTGGAAAGTGTCATTTTTTAAGGCACAATACCAAAACATTTGTGAAGAGCCTTTTATTTTTCACACTGAATATTATATATATATATATATATATATATATATATGTATATTCATTGAAATTCACATTGATAAATGTAAACATGTAGATATTCCTTTATCATAAACAGGCCTGAGTCTGGCCTTTCTTTTGCAAGCCCTGCTCTCCTCCACCCACTTGGGCTAAAGCTTCACAGTCAGAACCTCTGCTGATTATGTTGTTTTCAGACAGGGTCTAACTTACTCAGACATATCAATGCTGACATTAAGAGCAGTTGCTTGTCTTATCCCCCCAGGCATGTGGTTTAAAAATCTACCCCCTTCCCTGTTACTGAGGTTAATGACTTCTCTGCAGAAGAGGAGCAAAGTGATTTCATGTTTTTCCTTCTTTTAAGAGGTTGCAGAGCCAGCAATCCTCTCAGTGCTGAGAAGACAGCAAATTTCAGCTCCCTACCTTCATTTATGCCTTGATCAATGAAGCTGTTGGCAGAGAAAATCGTGACACACAGTGAGGAGAAGAGCACAAACCTGTTGGAAATGGTGATGTTATTCCCATTTGGAGCATGGACTGTAGGCATATCCCTGCAGGCTTTACCAAAGCAAGGGTGGTAGCACCACCCCACCCAACCCAGAGCTCTGCTGCTGCATGGCAGTGGTGCAGAGCACACAGGGAGCTGAGGTGGAGGTCCAGTCCTCAAGTGTCCTATGCTTGTGTCCTTCCCTTCATTCCAAATAGGAAACCTGAGAGGCCTGGGAGTGGATGTGTTCTGAAAGTCACAAAACTTTCATTACATTGCTTTTCCATAACCTGTTTCACAGGTAGTGAAATGCTTAACATTGAATTTTCCCATGGAACTAACCAGAGAAAAGGATGCCATGAAGTAGAGATGAAAATAAACTCAACTGGGCCAATGGAAAACTGTCCTCCTATTTAGTTGTGGTTTCCTGAAAATGATCATTTGGGATGAATTTTTGTTTGTCCTTTGAAATCCAGGATTAATCATTCAGGAAAGCTGACAATTCTGTTTCTACATTTTGTACCTCTGGTGGGTGTTTTCCAGCATTTAAAGCAATTCCCAGATTATTTGTTTTTTTGAGGTGGGGAAAAACAAGGGGCTGTTTATTTTCCATTCAGGCAAAGTGACATTCCAAAATATTATATAACTTCCATCATTGCAACTAAATATGTTTGGTGTATCTAAATAAACCAGATTCAGGTATTTGTTCCTGAAATGCACCAAATAGAAACTACCACAATACTTCTCTTCTACAATGAGATTGCAAATATAGGTGATGTGAAACCATATAGTCTCTTAATTTTAAGTCCTTAACTAAGGACTCCTAGAATCATAAGTAGAGAAACCGTTTAACAAAGACATGAATACATATTTAAACACACACATTTACTATGAACTGCATTAAATATGACAGAATATCCCAGCATGACTATGCCCATGTCTTTTGTTTCTCTCTTCTCCTCTAGAAATTTCAAGACTTTTAAGATTTCATCTGAAAGTTCTCAGTAAATGCTAGAGACTTGTGCCTTTCAAAAAAGCAGCTCAATCGTCTGTGATCTTAACACTCCCTGGATAGACTCTGGTAGATTCAGCAGCCTGTTGATGCAGCAGATTATATCAGAGGTGCAAAAAAACAACCAGTGCCACACTGGTGGAATTAGGACACGGCTTTCTACCACTGCTTCAGTATTTCTCCACCATCACCACCCTGGGTACTTGGACTCTGCCTTCCCACTGATCATGCTGAGGCAATGCATTGGACACAGATAACACACCTGTGCACCTGGACAATATTTTGGGGACACTGTGGATCCTCTGCAGTGGCTGAACAGTGATGCTGTGCTTGTGCTCATCCAGGCGATCCCAGCAGACCTCCCATGGCTGCAGCCAGCATGACACTGCTCCTCAACAATTCCCTCAGCAGGACACACTGCACCTTGGGATAGTAACCATGTGCTGGCATGGGAAGGTCAGGAAGTGAGAGCTGATTTGCTTTCACCTTGGCCTGTTTAATGCCATCTCACACTGTGATGCCTCCAGCACCTGAGTAATCTGCCAGCAGCATGAGTATTGTGCACGTGTGTATTCTTGCCCACACTGTATCTTAGGAATGAAAGGATTCTGCAAAGAAAGGAAGGGACAGCTCTGGGAGCTGGGAATAAGCACACAGGGTCAGCTAAACCTCCTTTCTAGGTCATTTTAAGATATTTCATTACACAGACCCATTGTTACTTAAACCCACTCCGACTGCAAGAGAAAAAGAACCAAAATAAAAGCAGACTGTTGGATGGAGCTCATCCTGCTTAGAGCTACTTTCACACTTTTCATTAGATATAAATGCCAGATCTTGCTGTCCATACTGACCCAAAGGTGCTGGATCCTGGCTCACTTTCCCTTTGCATGTATCACATCTGACCTAACTGCAGTTTCATGGGAGCAGACTGAACCTTCAAAGTCCTGCTCTGCCACACTCAGTTTCATTTTCTCACAAAGCCTTTGAATCAAGGCAACCTTCCACCACATCCTGTAAGCAATTAGAAGATTTCCGACCTGCTGTAAGGCAGTCTTATTGTGAGTGTGCATCACAACATAGCTTTTTACATCCTATTCCACGCCAGGATTGCTGCTTTT